TACTACATATATACATGGAAATGTCATAATGAAACTCCCTGTATAGCTACCTTAAATGTCTTTTTTTCAAAAAAGGACAGGAAGGTAAAACAGGTCCTGTCTGGGAGTTGCTTCCAGTGGGAGGGGGAAGGATATAAAGGTGAAGGAGGTGAACAAGTTGGAAGTATTATGTACTAAAGTATGAAACAGAAAACTGAGATCTGTTGAAATTATTCTTAGGGGGGAAAGGGGAGATAAAGGAGAATGATGGAGGGGGTGAATTTAAAGAAGATATTTTATAAGCACATTTGTTAATGTTCCAATATATCCCCAGCAGAACAATGAAAATAAAATAAAATTTTAAAACTCTTCTGTTTAAGAAATAGAAGAATGTCTACTACTCTTCAATTCCTTTAACAGTCAAGTGTTTCTTCTAAAGGATAAGGAAAGGGAGAGTAACACCTGAAGGCTCTCCTATTATGTTAGCAAATGGGTCAGGTTGAGGTTCTACACTGCTCTCTGAAGGGCCAATAATTATAAGTAAGAGTCAGCTCTCTATTCATGTAAAAAAGTCGGTACATAAATAAGCTCCTCTACTGTCATATCTTAAGATAAAAAGCCAACCAAGAATCACTCAACAGCTAAAGAAAATCTAGAACAAGGCAAAAATTAAATAGGCAGCAATTAAAAAAAAATAAGAATGAAGGCTAAAAAGCAAACTACTACCCTTAAAGAGATTTAAAACTAGACTTTTCCAAAACAGATATTTTTAATTTTAAAAATATGCAATCACTAAAAAAAGAGTCCTTAGAAATCAAGTCTACCATTGGTAAAATAAATCCAACAAAGCACTCAGGATCTTTCCTAGAATCTGTCTACTCCAAGTGTAGGGCCCTAAACACAATTATAAGAACAGAAATACTTTAGTCACTTCAGGCTCAAAATGTTTACTTCACTTCCCAGGAACTCCTGTACTTTAAAATGTGCACCAGCAAAACAAGAATGAAAACCAATAAAGAATAGAAAATGAGATTCAAGAAAGAGTAAGTACACCCTGGGAGAGTTGTGAAAGTGAATTCTAGTAGGCCAGTTGTTTGGCTGGTCTAGGAGCATCCAATCCAGACTAGACTAGAAAGGTGGAGGTCTCTAAGAGGCCAGCCTACAGGAAAAAAGGAAAAGAAAAAATTCTATAAAACAGATACTATGATTAAGGGCTGGAAAAGGATATAATAAAGAAGTAGATGAGAGATAGAAAAAAGGCAGGTTAGAAACTGACTCTGGCCATGTAGGCAGAAGGGTAGATATACAAGAGAATCACAGTCCAACTGAAGCAAAAAAGCCAAAATTAGGACACCAATCTAAAAACAAAAAGGAAGGCATGAGAAAAGGGAGGAAAGTACCTGATTCTTTCTCCAAAAGAGAATATAAAAAACTAAAAAGTAACATTATTTTGACCAATTTGGAGACTGTAAGAAAGGAGATATTCATTTGAACAGTCTCTTTTGGAGGCACAATGGTCCCACAGAAAGAAACAAAACACTAGCCACTGTAGACTTGCCTCTACTTGAGTAGAGTATGTACCTGATTAACAGTATATAGCAAATACTATTATTACTCTTCAGCTTTTACTATAAGTGGTAAAACATGTAACAGTCTTCCTAAAGTTACAAAATGAAATATAAATATTACCAACCTTAGTCTTTTAAGTTTAGTTCAATAGAAGTGAGAGAATGAGCAAGAACGTGTTCATCAGAAGCTGGGCAATTCCAGCTGCTCAGGAGGTGGAGGCAGGAAAATGAGTTCAAAGTCAGAACCTTAGGCCTTGAAATACAAAAACAAAAAGGGCTTGGGTGATGGCCCGAGTGGTAGAAAGCTGGAGCATGAGGCAGAGCAGGGAAAACAGGGCAGGGCTGGGTTAATTCCCAGCACTGCAAAGAAAAAAAAATCACCGTAAGATTTCTGCCAAAACAAGGACAATGCCCCTATAAAACACAACAGGAACAGAAATGTGTAGCATAGGAGAATGTTATTTTCATTTATACATCCACCTGTACTGATTTTTTAAACACACACACAAGATTACATCTACAGTCAATGCTTTTATTCTGGGAATACTTTTGATTTGTTTTAAAAACTTGAAAGTGTGAGGGCATGTGTGTATACACGCACATACACATATATATAAAAACATGCCTATATACAGATATATGGTAGGTGAAATATAAAATGCCTTCCACAACGTTATAGAAAAACACCTCACAAAATGCTATCTTTTCAATGTTCCTACAGATAGAATATTAACAGAGTTTGCAATTTGTTAAAAAAAAAAAAAAACTTTCAGTAGAATTCAAAACTAAAATGTTTAGTTGAGTGTGAGTACAAACTACTTAATTTATGCTCTCGAGAAAATATCTTTCTTTTTAACACTGAAGTGGCTTTACTATCTGATTTAAAACGGAATTTTAAAAATTCCAAGCATTTCTTTGAAAGAGAAACAACTTATCAAAATCAAGTTTTCAGCTTCTACTTTAAAACATGCTTTTCAATTCTTTAATAAGCAGTGTAGACACTTAACTACTTCAGTACTAGCTTAGATGTTATTTACAAAGTTTTTATTGGGTTTTCTTTTTTTTGGTTTTGGGTTTTTTTTTCTCTGTATGATTTTAATGTCACAGTATATCAAATTCTGATATGTCCATGAAATGCTGCAATTTTATTAGTTTTATACACTTTAAAATTATAAAGCCACTTTTTCCCACTAACTTTAAGACAAGAATCTTTCCCCTCTCTAAGAAATTAACCAATGTTATCAGTGTGGTATAAATTCTTTCCGACATTTTCTGTTTATACAAACACATACACACACACTCTTAAAATTTGTTTTAACAAAAGGCATCAAATGACTAAAAAGTATTACACTCAATAGTGCATTATGTTCATCTTTCAACATGAAATGTTTACCATTTGGTAACTGCCTTACAAATTTCTAAAGGCTATATATTGTTCCAGAAAATGAACTGTTACATTTCTTAAGATTATAAGCAATCTAATGGTTACACAGTTCCATTCTGAAAATTTTAAGTCTTCTCTAATTTATCACATCAAAATTAACTTCAGGTTTTACATGTCTCCAAAATATAAGGCAATGACTTAAACAGGCAAGATTAGCACAAGTGTGACATGCAGCAAAAAAAAAAAAAAAAAAATCACAAAATGGAAAAATCTCCTAAATAGAGTCCAATTACCAAAAGAAATGGTGGAAAAATGAAGTGAATAAAACAAGTCTAGACTGAATTTATAAATCAAGAGATGTATGAAGATGTAAACTAGTACAAAAAAACTTACAATTTAAGCTTTACTTTTATAGGAATAAAACAAATTCTAACTGCAAAAAAATTTTTTTTAAGGCAGAGGCAGGACAAACACAGTAATTGTTTAAAAAATGTTTTTCTTAAAGGAAATGAAAAGGTAAAGATTCGTTTAAGAAAAAGCTGAAGTTGCTGGAGGCATGTCTCAAACAGTAGAGTTGACATCACAAGGTCAAAACTGAGTTCAAATCACAAGAAAAAAGGGGAAAAACCTAAGATGCTTATCATATAGTTTACAAAACAATGTAATTATTCTGTGAACAGATTCCACACAAGGAATCACAATAGCTGATATCACCTCTTTAAATGATGTAATCCTAGGTAATATACACATTAAAATACTCAAAGGAATACTAGTTTAGACGCCTGTAAAAATGTGTAATCTCATCTTTCTCTAAGTCAACTTTTACCCTTATTACCCAACACATAATTACTGCTCACTTTTCCAAATTTTACCTCTAGTTTTTTTTGTAACTACAAGATGCACATACTTTAAAAAGAAAAAACCTTGGAAACAATCCTCTAATCTCTTTTGATTTAATTCATGCTCTTCTAACCATTTACCCACATATCAATATATCAAATTCTTTTTCTTGCCAAATTTGGGAAAACAGAAAATAAGTGCCTTTTAACTCTTACGGGTTCATCTGAATCTATCGTATCTTTTTTTTTTTTTTTTTTTGCGGTACTGGGGCTTGAACTCAGGGCCTACACCTTGAGCCACTCGCTCCACCAGCCCTTTCGGTTTCAAATCTTGATCCTCTGACTTAGGTTGACCGTGACCTTGAGAAAACTGCAGTCTCTGAATCTCCTCGTTCGGATGCTAATGGAAATTAACGCACCTCTAGTTTCCGTACCCGTGAAGGGAACACCCGGGGCCTAGCACGGTAAAAACCCCACGAGCATTACTAAGAAGTAATGCTTAACACTAAAAATCACCAGCGTGAGTGCGACACAACCAAGAGTTTGCTTTTAAGCCTAAGTGGAAAGGCGTTATTTCCTCAAGGGCTTTTCCTTCCATTTTCAATTACCTCACACTCCAGGTCGACAGCGACCACACAGGGGTTAACAGGGTCCCACGAACTTGGGCCAAATTATCTTAAGGGCGATTTACACGTGCTCGACACAGATCGCGGGAATGCAGGAGGAAGGCAGACATTTTCCCCCGTGAAAATACACACACCCCGAGTTAAAACCCGAGAGCTTCCTTTCAAGTAGGGGCAATTAAGGGAAGAAAAGAAAAGCAGCTGTAATGTTTCCTCTCGCTCCCAAAGTCCTGGGACGAAAAGGGAACTAACTTCTTTATAGCAATTTGCAGGGATGCCACGGACGTCTAAGAACATGCAGAGAAAAGGTTAAACTTGAAAACAGCTCCCCGCGTAGGACCCAGGCTTCGGTGAGGCCGAAAGCAAAATAGTTGCGTGAGTATTTAGAAAAAAAAAAAAAAGAAAAAATTCCGAGGCTCCAAGCATAGAGGGCCATGGGAAACGGGGAGACTGCGGCGGAAAAAGAGGGGCGGTGCCGTCGAGGTACGGGGTGCGCGGCGGGGAGCGGAAGGCAGCGGCCGGCGTTCGAGCCGAGGACCCCGAGGCAACCCGGAGTTCGCGAACCCCACAGCCGCGCGGAAGCCTAAAGGCCGGGATAGCGCCGTACCTGCAGAGATCGTCCAGGACGCTGCCGGGAATCTCCACCCGTTTGGTCTCCATGATGAGGACCCGCAGCAGGAGCAGTGCATCCCGGCTCCGCGCGGCCGGGGACCGAGGTACAACACGGAGACTCCGGCAGGCCGGAGAACGGGCGGCGGCAGTGGCGGCACGGAGGCGAGACGGGGGAAGGGGCGCGACCCACTCACTTCCGTCCCGCTTCCTCTGCCCTGGACCCCGAGGCTGGGCCGAGGCGCGGGGCGGAGCCCCGGGAGTCACGCCCCCTTCTGCTTGAAAGGCCCAATGGAAAGCTGAGCTTAAGCTCTCTAAGCCAATGAGATATTTGTTTATTGGTCCTCCGGCACCAATCCGTCTTCAAGCTGCTCAGTTCCGGCTCAGAAAATCAACTTCCCGCCGCCTTTGACAGAGCTCCGGGATGGGTTCGCGCGTGCGTGTTGTGCCTCTTTTGCAGAACTAGAAGTTTAGAGCGCTGGTCTTCACCTTAGACTACTGAGACCAACATCCGGGACTTTGGCGTGGTCTCTTAGTAGTCTCTTTGAGCATGACTGGGCAGGTGCTGGTGGCTTTGTGGGGCGGAGCCTTAGAACCGGTCAGACACAAATGTGTATGCACGACTCTTGTCACCAACCCCTGCGCACACACTCCCCACTGCCTCCACTACCCCCCAGGTTAAAGGCTGTGCCTCCTTTTCCTACAAACCCCTGAAGACAGTAATGCCAATGTTTGTGTTTAGACAGGCTGGCCTCGAACTTACGATTCTCCTACTTCAACCTCTGGAGTGGTGGGATTACAGGCTTGCATGCAGACTAATTCCATTTTTAATGTGGTTCAGCTCAGTCCCTCCTTGAGCACCAAGTTTGACACCTAGTGAGAACTCAGGTAATACTGATTGACCCTGAATTTGTGCGTCCCACTCCCTGCACACACACCTACACACACCCTATTCCAACCTGAGTTCAAACCCCAGTACTGCGGGGAGGGGGGGGAGGAGTGGAGGTTGGGGAAGGAAAGGAGAGGAGAGAAAAAAAAGAAAAGAAAAAGTGAATTTCTTCAGGAAGATCACGGTTCGATTCGTGAAACCCTATCTTGAAAAAACCCATCATAAAAGTAGGGCCACTGGATGCCTCATGGTGTAGGCATTTTGTTACTTTCACCAGAGTCCACATTAATACAGTACTCAGTTCTCTTTTTCTCTGCACATTTGTAATGGAGAGTTATATAATATATTCATGAGTAATAAATAACAAATATATTGTATTAGTCATCTTTGCATCTCTATAGCAAATACCTGAGATGTTAACTTATAAAAAGAAAAGGTAGAGCTGGCAGAGTGATTCAGGTGGTAAAGTGTGTGCTTAAGTACTGCTTAGGAAGTGTGAGGCCCTGGGTTCAAACCCCAGTATTGCCAAAAAAAAAAAAGAAAAGAAAAGGTTTATTTTGGCTTACAGTTTTGTACCTTTCAGTCCATGAGTGATTGGCCCCACTGCTTTTGGGCATAGGAGAAGAACGTCTTGGCAGGAACATGTGGCAGAGCAAAACCTCAAGACCAGAAGTGAAAAAAAAAAAGAGAGGAAGGTCCCATGATCTCCTTCAAGTGCATGACCCCAGTGACCTCAAGATGTCTTAGTAAACCCTACTTCTTAAAAGTTCTACCTTGCCTTTAATACATGGGACTTTGGGAGCCATTCCAGATTCTTTTTTTTTTTTCAGTACTGGGGCTTGAACTCAGGGCCTACACCTTGAGCCACTCCACCAGCCCTTTTGTGTGTGTGTGTGTGTGTGTGTGTGTGTGATGGGAATTTTCGAGATAGGGTTTCACAATTTATTTTGCCTGGGCTGGCTTCAAACTGCAATCCTCCTGAACTCTGCTCCTGAGTAGCTAGGATTATAGGTGTGAGCCACTGGCATCTTGCCCAGATTCTAACTATAGCAAATATGTAATGTACAATAAAGAGCTATCAGGCTGGAAATGTAGCTCAGTGGTAGAAAGCTTGCCTAGCATGGTCAAGGCCCTGGGATCCATTCCCAGCAGCGCGCATACACACACACACACACACACACACACACACACACACAAACACACACAATCATCTGTGTTAGATAAAAACATATTACACATAAACATATTGTTTATATAAAACAATTCTAAAACTCCCCTTTTCTTTTGCCCCCTCCTTCTGTCAGGTCTGACCTCCCATGCACTGATGTTTGCCCACAGAGGAAGCATGCAGTTAAAGGGTACAGATGGTGTCATCAAACCCAAATGGGAAAGCTCTAAGCTTGTGGTAAGCAACCTTCTTTTAAATGAAGGCGACATCAGGAAAAAAATACAATTACTTCGGGACTTTTTAAAAAATAATGTCAATTTTAAAAATTAGAAATCCAATTGCTACAGCAGTTATTAAGAATTCATATTAATTTCTTGCTGCTGGTTCAAATTTAGTCTCACTTATTATTGTGTCAAATCTCTGAATGGCTTTTGTTGTTAAATAAGCATCCTAAATGAGGCTTGTTGTTTTCTTCCTCACTCACCTTGTTGGCTTATTAACTGGGAAAAGGGGTTTGTGTTATGACACCTCATACTGACTCTTTCAAAAAAAAGAGTTTTCCTTGAAAAATAGCAAACAAATCCAAAGAAGTAGTCTCACATCTCCTAGGCAGGATTGGCCCCAAATTCTCCACAACTAACATAGCCCTGTCCAGGCAGATGCCTTACCTGTAGTGAGTGACCTGGACCTGCCTACACTTAGCCAGTCCCATACATTTAAGGAAACCATAATAATAATAATAATAACACACACACACACACAGAAGTCGATTTTAGCTGCTACCAGCAGAGGGGGCCCATTGCTTTTCACCCATTTTCAAATTTGACATCATATCACTGACTCGTGTTTTTAGTGTAAAAGCAGGACTTTAAAACTGAGGCCTTTGCCAGACATAGGACTCCACTAGTGCATCTCTAGGGAAATTGCATTGTTTTCTGGTTAAAGGACTCTGATCTCTGAAGAAATCTTTCCCACACCATGAAACCTGACCTTTACAGTGAACCTTCTTTTCTTTATCTATTCTGTAGTGGTCAAGGCACTGGCAAGGGCAATACAGTCTCTCACTCTGTGTATTAGTTTTCTGTTGCTGTCTTATCTAATGACCACAGATTCGGTGATTTAAACAAAACAAACATCTCACAATTATCCAACATAGCTCTTACTGGGCTAAAATCAAGGCATCAGCAAGGCCATGTTTCCTATTGACAGCTCTGAGGAAGAGTCAATGTCTTCTCGTTTTCCATATTCCAGAGGTCACCTACATCTGTCCTTTGGCTTTGCTTCTCCATCTTCAAGCAGACAATGCTGATTCCATCGTACATCACATTACTCTCACTTCTCACAGTCCATCTCCCCTGACTCATTCCTACTTCCTCTTCCATGTTTAGGGATCCTTATGATTATATCTTGCCCATCCAGATAATACAGGATGACTTTTCCATCTTTAAATCAGCTGATTAGGAACCTTAATTCACCTACAATCCTAATTCCCCATTTGCCCTTAACATATCATGGCAATCCCAAGAACTAGGCATGAATGTCTTCAGAGGCATTATTCTGCCTGTCACACACTCTCTTTATCCTTGCGTTGTACCCTTCCCTATGACTACACATCTTTTCACTTCCTCATTTCCAGGAATTGTAATATATGCTTTTTCTAATATTTGAAAATTGCTAGTTTTATGTCCTTGTTCATCTTGCATGAGATCACCCAATGGGTAAAAGAACGGTATGTCTAGGATTTGCCTTAAAACAATCCGCCATGAGCTGGGAATGCAGCTCAAGTGGTAGAATACTTGCCTATTATGTATGAGGCCCTGTGTTCAATTCCCAGCACCGAAAAAAATATCTGCCTAGGGGAAAAAAACTATAAAGCCCAAACTGAAGACCAAATGGAAAGGTTGGCAAAGGCAGTAGGTAATTGTTGAAATGGTGTTGAGTACTGAGTACATGAAGTGCTATTCTTATTCTTACATACTTTCTTCTTTTCAAGTATATATAATAAAAAGTAATAAAAATCACATCTTACTGAGAATTCTATTGACTTTTATCTCTTTAGTATTTGAAAGGAAAAAATGATAGTAATAGTTGAAAAAGCCTGCTAAAAGGTCATTACTAACATACCAACTGAAAATGCAGTTGTCTTTAAAAATTGCATTAAGATAGTATTTACATACAATAAAATGTTTTGACTTTTTATAAAATTAAATTTCCTGTTTTGAGAAAATCATAAATTCCTGTCCTGCTTTCTAAAGAGAAATCTGGTATGCCCTTTGCCCAATTTCCAATGGCAGTGTTTTGCAACCTTACAGCACAATATCACAACCAGGGTATTCAATTCCATAAGGCCAAGACAGAACATTTTAATCACCACAAGAAGCTGTCATGTTGTCCTATAACCAACTTTTATATGACTTCTCAGGAACTTTTAACAACCACTTAAAATTAGCAATACATACTTTTTCTGAGTTGCACATATATGCAACAGATCAGCTCAAAAAAATGAATAGAGAAAAGTGCACAGGATAATAGAGAGATGGCTTCGAGTTTAGGAGCTAAAGCTCCTGTATCAACGGGAAGTCAGTTACTTACCCCTGATGGCTGGGCATGTCAATGACATGATAAATACCTCTCCTGGAAGCTGCTTCCTACAACATTCATTCTTCTCCTTCCTCTCAGTAAGTGAACTCATTTAAAAGCCTATGTTTCCTAGACTCTCTCACAGCTAACTGTGACTACATGTGGTCAGGGAAATGTAAGCATAAGGGAGTCCAGGACCTTTGGGAAAGCTCTAAAAGAGAGTGGCAGGCCCTTCCTCACTTCTTTTCACTCCCAACAGACAGCCATCAGTCATCTGGCCATTGGCCATTGGCCAGAAAAGCAAAATATATGGCTCCCTGTACCTGATGACATTGGAGCCACCAAACCAGCTCTGGAGTGCCTGTCTGTAGATTGTCTGTTACAGAAAGACAGAGAAACGTCTATGTGTTTTAAGGCATGATATTGTTTTATTGTTTTTTTCTTATTTTATGCAGGAAGTAGTGCGAACTGACATAAGTAATCTTCTCCTTATGTAGAGGCATAGGCAGTTCTCAGCTGAGGCCTGAGACTGCTGTTTTGATTTGTAGAACAAAACAATTTCACTAGGCTCTTCAGCCATACAAAATTAT